CATTATATTATATATATATGTATATATATATATATACGTGTTTGTGTGTGTGTGTTTGTTATGTATGTATGTATGTATATATATATGTATCTATGTATACATATATATATGTATATATATATATATATATATATATATTTTATGTATATATGTGCATGTAAGTATGTGTATATTTTTATGTATTTATATACGAGTATATGTATACAGAAATGTATGTTCGCGTATGTATTTATGTGTTTATATATATATATATGTGTGTATGTGTATGTGTATATATGTATATGTATATGTAGGTTATGTATATATGCACGAGTGTGTGTGTTTGTTTGTGTTTGTGTACCTTTGTATATATATACATAGGCACGTAAAAAATATGCTCAAACAAATGACTATCATTATATATTGACATGGGTTTCGACGGTCACCTAATTGTTAGACACATACACATATGCCAGCTAAAAAGGCGATTCGTGAAATGAAGGCTAGGAATCCCGTTGACGCGGGCATTTCTGCGCTCACTTTGGAAGCGCCTGTACCACAGTATGCGCTACCGCACCCCTACGCACCCAACCCACACGCCACCGATGTCCCCCCTTCTCTGGACACACTCAGCCCGCAAATACAGCAGAGCCTATTAGCACGGGTATGTGTATATATGTATTGCAAACCACATGTATATGTACATGAGGTGTGTGTACATGCTGTAATGTGTACTTCTATCGATGTTATTCGTGACTGTGAGAGAATGTTTTGTTAGTCATGTGTACACCGTGACCCCATCTATATGCACCCAATCCACACGCCACGGATGTGCCTCCTACCCTGAATTCACTCCGCCCACAATCACAGCAGAGTCTATTTGAACAATGTACTCTTTACTCTCTGTAATGATACACATGATTGTGGATGAGAGTAGATTGGAGGTGTTGTGTGCAACTAGGAATCATCCCCACTCCATGCTGATGAGTTATACAAGCATGTGTATAAAGATATCTGTCTTTGTATGTTGTGGTGAAATATATAGTCTGTCTGTGTATGTGTCTTCCTGTGTGGTTGTGTGCATGTTTGTGTGTGTGTATCTATATCTATGTATCTATATCTGTATATGTATATGTAGCTATATAATATATATATATATGTGTGTCTGTGTCTGTGTCTGTGTCTGTGTGTGTCTGTGTGTGTGTGTGCCTATATTATAAATATATATATATAATATATATTCATACCTACCGGTATATTTGTACGGAAGAGCGCCTTGGCTAACAATACTAGACTGAAGGGCAGCGCATTATAACTCTACCCTCATTTATACAGCAGATATACTTATATATATATATATATGCTACAATACTATTCCCTACCCCCTACACTCGCCTCTCTCGTAGATACAAGATATACATATGAAAATATCTCTACACGTATACGTCCGTTTGCACAGGATAACGCGTTAAGTGATAGTATTGGACAGAAGGGTAAGCGTAAGTTAAGTGTTTCTGATAATAGCGGAGATGACGAAGCCGAGGACAGCGGCGACGACGATACAATTCAACAAGACCAGGCGGACGCAAATAGCGATGTATGTTTATATATATATGTGTGTGTGTGTGTGTGTGTGTATATATGTGTGTGTGTGTATATATATATATATGTGTGTGTGTGTATGTGTGTTTGTTCTTGTGAGTGTGTGTGTGTATATATATATATTTATAGATTCTATATATATATGTGTGTGTGTGTGTGTGTATGTATATGTGTATACGTGTATGTAGTATATGTATGTTTAAATATTATATATATATATATATATCTCGTTTATGTGTATGTCTTTTATTTCAACTTCAAACACGTCCTCTTGTAGTACACCTTCCTATACGTGTATAAGTCCCTGGTACACCTATGTTATGGCTTTAACGTAGGTTTAAAATTACATCTCCCAATATGTAGAGTTCGAGTGAAAGCGACTCTGAAGACGATCTCTTGGCGAGGGACGTGTTCGGCGACCTTTCAGACGAAGATGACGACGAAGAAGATGCATAATGAAAGCTTACATCAACCGTATGTAGTTGCTGTTGATAACTGTGGCTAGAAGTTAAGGGACCATACTAGAACGCTTTATACAGTTCTTGTCATATCCACGCCCGCTTGGAAACTCACGTTAGCCTACGAAATATAACGAAGCAGCTACCGCAGCTTCAGAAAATGAGAAAATGTATAAACGGTCATCAACAAGGACCACTACAAAACAGCAATTTCTCAGCAAGTCGTACTTGACTTGTAGAAGCCCATTAAACTCGCTGAATAATGATATTATCTGCACACGGACAGGGCGAAGGAAAAAGCAAACTAAGAATCTGCAGTATAGACATATGACAACATACTGGCAAAAAGTTACCGAATTGTACTCGTAGGCGTACTGAGTACGTATGGGCAAGATATGGGCACCTATGCCCCATTACAAGCACAGATTAGAGCCAACTGGTGATTTTATCGTAGAACCCCCATGTGCTAATGACAGTGTTTTTACGTATCGCTCCTTAGGGAATCCACGAGAGCGTTGTTAGTATGAGCATACGGCTATGAGGCCTTATGTTGAAGGGTTTTTACTTCTTCTTTTTTTTTTCCTTTTTTTACCCCCCCCCCCCCCCCCCGCCATTTTAACAAAGTTTTTTATTTTTCAAAACATAGCCTTCTAAAATTAAACATTCAAAAAGTTATTATTATTTTTTACACAAAGTAATATTTCATACATGTCCCTTTTTTTACCTAAATAAAGTCTAAGAAAAGGGTCAGCCGGCCACAGTTTATTCTTTTTGTTGTTGTTGTTTTTTTAAACAAAAATAAACAGAACAAACTATTAATTACAAAATACATAATTTTCTAGTATGTATGATTGTATGTTCAGTAATTTTAAATAATTTTAAATAACAATATACTCTTTAGAGTGTCCTTGCGTTCCGCCAGACGGCCAGAGCTGACCCACTGCTGAGTGCTGACTCACAGGCTTCACAGCCTGTCTGACTGCCGTCAGCGGTTAGACCGTCAGTGTGCGAGTCTCCCCGCTCCCGTGAGTGCGTGCTCCACTCATCACTGATTTTTGATTTTTTTTTTATCCATAGCGGCCTGCAGCATACAGTATACTTTAGCCTTCAGTTTTGTTTTGTTTTTTAAATAAAAACAATAAATATTTAGAACACACAAAGTCGCAACTCAGAACTCATAACTCGGTACACACAAGTGACAAACATTTCGTGACGCGAGAGTTCGTAAGTCGTGAACTCGTGAGTAATGAACTCGTTACTCCGTGAGTTGTGAACTCGTGAGTCGTGAGTCGTGACTTGTAAAGTCACTCTAGAGCAGTAGAGCCTGTAATGTACTGTGTAGAGTGAATACGGGCCGGCCTAAGCTCAATACGTTAGCCGATATAACTTTTATTACATGACGATATAAGCGTTAAAGTTTTATTTTTATAACATACATGGTCCTATGGATTTCAGATGGGGTGTAATTTATAGGTCCGCATATTTGTCCCCAGGTGAGGCTGTTGAGCGCGCCAAATATCAAAACAGGCTATCGGTTTGGAGATCAGTTCGAGCTTATGATTGGTCGACACTCTCAATAAAGCCCATTTAATGGATTTAAGGTGCTTATTCGAAGTGCAGTTTTTGAAATATCGTTGGGCATATTTGAGCTACATAACCGTTTTAAAGTATATAGAACATGAAAATAGGCGTTAAAGTTCAAATTTCATTCAGCATACACATAACGTAATGAGCTTACTGTAGACTGTAGAGTGTAGAGTGTTGACCTACTTCAATTTTTTTTAAATAACTTGTTTTTTACTAGAATGGACACCTTATACCTATATAAGTCCTTCTCAAATTCAGCGGGTGCAATATTCAGGTCAGTAAGTATATATGTTTTGTCCTGATTTTAGGCGCACAAAGCTGCCAACTACCAACTTCCAGGTGTCATGCTAACGCTATATATTTTCTAGAACTTCTCAAGTGCAAAATTGAAAATCATACAAAATATTTTGTCCCAAATAAAAGTTATGACTTTTGAACGTTTTTTTAAATAGAACGTTCATACAGTGACTATGTGACAAATGACTTCACTGACAACCCCATAAATTTATGAGGTGATGTAGGACAGGACGACGTTGTCTATACGACACCCGTCACTATAAAATTATTAAACGCCCGAGCCTGTGTCCAAAACCTCATCCGGTCCATTCGCAAAGGTAGGGTCGATATTTAGGGGCCCTCGTAAGGTGACTTTGGCCCAAGTACTGAACTATTAAGCGTGTGCACTTCGCAAATATAAACTTTACCGATACAACAGTCAAGTATCGGTTTTCGGTACATAATCTACACCTATCACCTGAAATAGAATATACCGCCTCAGACTATGTAAATTATGATCGTTTGGTTTGCACAATTGCACTGTAGTTCAACAATGTTGAATTTGGTTTGTCCCGTTCTGTTGTAAATTTCAGGTCCAAGGGATTTTGTCCTGTTCTATGATTTCATTAACTGCAATTTGTTTTTTATTTAGAACATAAATTCAAAAAACAATTCACTCGGTTCATACACAAAGGAATACTAGGGCTCGGGCGTTTTAGACTGTAGAGCTGGGGACCGACCAAAAGGCGAATTGTAATGCCGACCAGTCGTGACACGAAAGTACGCGGGGTTTTAATCAGCTAATATTTATTTGCCTTTTGGTTGGTCCCAAGCTCTACAGTAGTAAAGTGAGCTTGGGAGAACCAAGCTCCTGTATTGATATCAGAGCAAATGAAAAGCCCGGTTTTCCCAAGGTGTTACTGGTTTAGGGCCTCCAGGTTTTACAAAAAGTGTATATTTATAGTGTATACTGTATAGAGAATAGTCACGGGTGACGGGAGTCAAGGGACTGCCGATGTAGACACAATTACTGTATAACTATGTAGTATGTAGACAGTCTGTAAACTACTCTACTACTCTACTCCTAGACTCTAGAGTAGTAGTAGTAGATAACACTCACAAATTCACAATGACAGAGAGAGAGACTAAGCTCATAGTGATATGAGGCCTGAGGGTACATACGGGATAGAAGTTGGCAAATGCATATTTACTCAATTTTAAAACGTTAGAACGGTTATAATGTGGTCAGAAGAGCCTACCTAACACTTTTAAAGGACTGGCTCGTATGGTGAATATGATATACACTTAAATGTTTAGACCCGCAAGCTGAAACCTATGAGCACACAAAGGACCACATGTGAAATAAAAGTTGAAAGTAAACGTATATCTATTCGATATATAAAAGTTTTATAAATGTAACGGAAAACGGTTTCAGGTTAGGAGAGACCGAGAGGCGAGAGAGACCTGCAGGCTACATAGTCTCACAGTCACTCTCTACTAGTCTCTACTCTCTCTCTCTCTCTCTACTCTAGTAAAGTAGTGGAGAGTAGAGCGAGAGTAGAACGAGACACTCTATAGAGTAGTCTATACTCGAGAAAAGACCAGTGTTAAAAAAAGAATGAATGTAAAGTCCCCCTGGCCCCAGGGGCCCAGGCCCTCAGGCCTTAATCCTAACCTCAAACCGTTTTCAGTTAAAAAAAACTTTTATATATCGAATAAATATACGTTTACGTTCAACTTTTATTCTATATACGGTCCTTTGCATGCACTCAGGGGCACCTTGCGGGTCTGAAAATTTTAAGTGTGTACCGCTTTCACAATACGAACCAGTCCTATACAAATAACAGGTAGCCCCTTCTGATCAGACTATAACCGTTATAACGTTTTAAAATGAATAAATATGCGTTTACGCTCAACTTTTATTTCGTACCCCCAGTGTCCCCTGACGTAGTGAGCTTAGCCTCAATCTCACGAAAACCTTCTTTTTTTTTTATAACAAATACACCCGTTCGTAACTTATTCGGTTAATTACTTATATGATGTTTTATCTAAACTCAAGTAAAATATCCTTTGAGAGCGTGCTTGCAAGAAGTGTCTAGAACTGATTGGTGTTTTTTCAGAGTAGTTTAGATTACGCTCGAGTAAAAGAAAAAGCAAAAGCCGTTTTCCTCAATGACGGAAATCTCTCAAAGAGTCAAAATGAAATAAACCGGTTATGTACATATGTTTCTGTATGCACTTTATATACCTTTTTTTTTTTTAAATACATAGTGTTTCTCTGTTTCCTATTTTATTTAGAATCAAACGATCACTGACTTTGAGTTTGAGAAACTGAGAATGTGAATCTGTCCGTCGGTCAGTCACACTGATAAACATTTATTTATTTTTTTAATTATTGTTGTAAATACATAGCAAGATACATATCCTTCTAAAAAAGAAGTAAAAAATAAGAAACTACTAGTTACTAGTAGAGAGAGAGAGAGAGACAGAAGACAGTCTTGGCGTCCTTTTGGATCCTTGGACTTCGGTCTCATCTTGTTCGACCTCAAGGCTCCACAGTCCGCACACACAACAAGAAGAGAGAGAGACTGGTGGACTGGTGGTTCGATTTCTGTCACTGTGCTGGAGGCCTGGTGCATTTGATGATGAAATGGTGTAAAACTTCATATATAATTTAGCCTTCCTAGCTTGTCATCACCAAAAATATTAACTTCAACACCTCTTTACTGGGTCAATCAACTCATCAAAAATCCAAACGCCATGTTTGGCATGGGGAAAAAGTCACACAACGAAGCCACCAAGAAAGCTTCGAAGTTGTCGACCAAGACCACCGCTAAGAAGGAGGCTCCCATGAAGAAAAAGGAAATCAAGCAGACTTCTGCTGCGAAACACGCTTCGACCCCAAGCCCAAGAAAGCGTGTGGTAGTTGAGCGGCAATCATCTCAAGAAGCTGACTCTAAACGAGGTAGAGTGTATGCAGGTCCCTCCGTCACTGGTCGTAAAACTGTCACATTCAATCGACGTGTTGAGGTGGCCGACACCTACGCAAAGAAGGTTTACAACCGTAGAGTAGTTGATGAGACGGATTTTGACTATGCCAGCCTTCGCTTTGCGGCACAGGAACTACAGGCTTTCAAGCGCTCGGAGATGCTCGTAGTCAAACGATGCCACTGTGAGATATTTCAGCTGCAACGACCGTTCAAGGAGATACGTATGAAAAATGGTACTGTGGTGAATAACTTCCACGAAGTTACCTCTTTCAAGACTTGCGAAGGTACTTGTGCTTTTGTCAAGGTGGGTGTCGCGACTCCAATCCCCTGTGCACTAGCTGCAGTTTCATCGTCCACTGGTATCCTTGTTGCCGTGTAGAGGAAGACCTCGAGGCACAGATTCTCAAATGTACATATCTAGTACGACCCATGCAACAACATAGTTGTCGGCTATTCAAGCTGTATTTTTAAACTAATTGATAGGACAATTTACATATTACATATAGAAAACTTGACCCGTGCAACGAGCATTGTTGCCGGCTATCAATTAATATATATCAGGTACGACCCGTACAATCATCATAGTTGACGGCTAAAAATAGGATTTTTGATGAATAAATATGAATTATATGTAACACGGATATGAACATTCAAAATCAATTCACTTTTGGAAATTAGTCACAAGTATAAGAGTTAGAATTCAGATCGTACTTGTATTGAACAAGTGTACCTTAAATCCGATTTATTGCGGTGGTGAACACCTTTAAAGCAAAATACAATACCGTGGAAGCATCAACCGAGATAAAATGTCAGGTAGCAAACCACCGCTACCTCAATTGAGGCTAACCTGCATTCACATCTGGTTGGTTGTGAAAAAAAACAGCGTTCTCACAATGCGCCAACATGATGGGACGACACCATCGCTTCATAGTATGCTCATGAACAACTAGGTTCATATTTATGAACTTGCTTGCTTTTTAAAGTCATCTATATGCAATTTGAGACTAAGTGGATAATGGATGAACCGTAGCGAGACGAATATTCGTTGTTGTACGTCTTGTATATACGGCACCTGCGAGAATACACAGTTTATACCCACCAGACATATAAAATTGACAGCCACAACTTATTTCCGTTAGCGTAATTCCTCATTCAGAGAATGAATATTCATTATATAACTCGAAAAACTCGAATCTACACCCGAACCGAACAATCAATATGAGGTCACACGGAATGTGTTTCAGGTGTGCAGCCACTAGTTTGGTACGTGATTTTTTGTACAAATTTGAACTTTTTCAGACCAGTCTAATCAACTAATTCTTTTTTTATCTGTTCTTTCCCATGGCCTCCTAAATTAGAACAGACTATGTGTTTCCATCCTGAAAAAGATGGAATATACTATTTTTATACATTTCATACACAACATCCTTCGTGCATGTTCTAGTGTTCTACACGCATGCAGAGGTTGTAATTTTGTTCAATGTCAAGTGGGCACAAATATACAGCTACAGTATGGTATTCTAATTTTTCAACCGCAGAATCTGGTTAACCAACCATAAACGACGTCACCAGCCTAGTATGCATAACGTTGTAGTTTAAAGATTAGAGTTACACAATTGAGTTTGGACCGATCATCTTACGGGGTACGTACTATTCATGTTCATAAACTCACCGTGCGTCTATAAAGTGGTTGGACAACTTCTGTGTGATGGCAATGACACGCACTTATGAAACGATTCAAATAAACAAAGTTACAGGTCTAGAACAACTATCGTAGGAATGTGTAAGTTTTACTTCTGAAACGATGAGACTATAAAATACACATTCGAATACTGTTCGTTTTGTACATCAGTATTCGAGTCGGAATGTTAAGATCCTTGCATATTATATGCTCATACAAAAAATGCGATAGACACTTAAATAGAATATGAAGTTACTGTATAACTTTTTAGTTTTAAATACTGGCACGTGGATACGTATTTTGGCCCAAACGTGACAACCCACATACATGCAGTATATAAATTATTATTTTCAACTAATAGTATCGAATAGATTATAACGTTTTACATCTTGATACAAACAATCTATAGCATATATCGGAAAATACTAAGAACGAAATACATTTTCGTAAATGGCTTATGATTTCATAAGTGTATGATACGTATATACATATATATATATATATATATATATATTCATCTATACGTATACATATATAAATATATACATATATAAATGTATGTATATATATATATATAATATATATATATGTGTGTGTGTGTGTGTGTGTGTGTGTAGTTAT